GTTTATGTTTAAAAATCTGTTAGAAACCTGATGCGTGGGCCACAAAAATTTAATTTCGTAAGTATAAAAAATGCTTTAGATCGTACAAAATGGAATCACGACGGAGCCTCGTTTAACCGGGCAAACTAGAGTGACACGAATGTTTAATTATGCTATAGTACAGTTACTTAGTTACAACGTCGGATTTCATCATTGTTGAAGCGTAGAGCGATCGTTTTTCACACGAATCGTCTGAAATTGAACTGATCACGTGCGAAATATATTTGAACAAAAGAGACTTCTGATACTGGAGAACCGGATAATCCCGGTTCTACCGTACTATAGATCAGAAAAACCATTTAATTTCCAGTTAAAATTGCTCAAACTACGAGGGACTGTTATTTCCTCCCATCTTTCGCGCAAGTACGATTAATTCGATAAAGACGTTATTTACTAAACCCGTTCTATCGACGTCCGTTTAGCATGTCTGCGCGCGAGCGTTTGCTTCTATGTTGCCAGAATAAAGCTATGTATGTACAGTAATGTCTCCCTAATTGACGCTTAGATTGTACACAAAAGTGGACAATTTGGGAAGAGGAGATACGATCGTTCTATGCTCGTTTTTATAGTGGCAGATTATCAACAATTATAAAAACGAGATGCAAAGCTCGAATAATCGTCCCTCCTCAGTAATGTCTCCCTAATTGACGCTTAGATTGTACACAAAAGTGGACAATTTGGGAAGAGGAGATACGATCGTTCTATGCTCGTTTTTATAGTGGCAGATTATCAACAATTATAAAAACGAGATGCAAAGCTCGAATAATCGTCCCTCCTCAGTAATGTCTCCCTAATTGACGCTTAGATTGTACACAAAAGTGGACAATTTGGAAAGAGGAGATACGATCATTCTATGCTCGTTTTTATAGTGGCATATTATCAACAATTATAAAAACGAGATGCAAAGCGCGAATAATCGTACCTCCTTCTCCCAAGTTGTCCATTTTTGTGCACAAATTGAGCGTCGGTTTGGGAGACATTACTGTACTCCTTTCTGTTAAAGTGAAAATAAACTTCGCGTTCGTATCATTAAACTTTATACCATCTCCTGCAGATTTTAGACGCGATAGGCTCGTTTCGATCGGACAGCAGGCTGAATCGGAGCGTCGCGAGCCGCGTCCATCTCCGAAGGTTCGCCAGAAACGCGGCGCAGCACCTTTGGAACAACGTGTACACGTCCGCAGGTAGGTCTGCGCATAACGCATGATGTATGGTGGGCGTGAAACGGGCGTAGCAACATAGTAACGTTTGCTATATCGGCCACAACTGTCTAGCAGCGCTGTGCCGTCGAGCTCTGCGACCGGATCTTCCTCGGATGGCCGTAGAATTAACTGCGGGCCCCCTCGGTATCGATCTCCGAGTTGAATTTTACACGATCTTCGAAGCGCGGCTGGAAAAAGAAGAGCGGCCGAGCGGACGCCGGGGAAACCGTGCGTTTCCCTTCGACGGTCGCCCGTAATCGGTCGCACACGATAACCCTTCATCCGCGTTCAACTATTAAAAAGTCCGTAAGGCACGTAAGCTGGTCGCGTACCTCGTAAACTTCTCGTTGATCGGGCAAAGGACGGCCGCCGATGACTGTACTCGTCGCAGGCTGCGGATTCGCACGATACATCTGCCCGGGGTTGGATAGCCTGCGGCGAGTCGCGACGAAGTAGTCTCGGAGACTCGGAAACTCCGTTTACTATGCATAATTTCGTCTAACGAGCGCGATTACGGCGAAAGCGCAGGAAACCTGGAACCGGCGACCGCCGAACGAACGATCGATGCGCGGTTTTCGTACGAATTGCTCGCTCCGCGGAGACGCTAAGTTCCAGCTGGAGCGTGATCAATTTCGAAGCTGCTAAACCTCTATATAGACGACGGACGCGCTCTGTCGACGAAGAGAATACGAGAAGAAAGAGGACTTACGTTTATGTTGCCGAGATGACTCGGAGGGCTGACACCCCGGCGGCCCCCGCCGCCTCCGACATCCGCGTCCAGCTTGCCGGCTGGATCGATCCCGTGGATCCCGAAAATTCCGCTGCACAGAGGAGCCGAGTATCGGCGCGGCTCGATCCTCGGGAACGATCCTCCTCACTGAACAAGCACAAACACTGTGTCACAGGTATCGGGCCGGTGTCCTGCCAACAAGATTCAGAAACATTCTTTACGCGGGCCCGCGCTGCATCGTCGCTCGCGTAGAGTCCCACGGGAGGACAGCGTGTTCACGGGGGCGAGGATCGATAGCGCGAGAAGAGGGAACGGGTTCTCCGCCGGATATCTCCCGAAGC